ATCCAAACCTATTTCCTGTGTGAAAAAGGGATTGCCCCCTAAACCTAGTAACCGGTTGGGCCACTCTTAGCAGCAACAAGTGAAATCAAGTGTTTGCGATAACTGGCAATGAGTCTTTTGCTGCACTGTGGAGGAATTTTGGCCTACTCATCTTTGCAGAACTGTTGTAATTTAGCCACACTGGAGAGTTTTCGAGCATGAACCGCCTTTTTAAGGTCATGCCAAAGCATCTCAATCCGATTCAGATCAGGACTTTAACTAGGCCACTCCAAAGTCTTTGTTTTGTTTTTCTTAAGCCATTCAGAGGTTGACTTGCTGGTTTGGTTTGGATAATTGTCCTGCTGCAGAACTCCAGTGCACTTCAACTTATGGTCACGAACAAATGGCTAGACATTCTCCTTCAGGATGTTTTGGTAGACAGCAGAATTCACAGTTCCATTTCCATTTTTTCCAGGTCCCCAGGTAGCAAAGCAGCCCCAGACCATCACACTACCACCATATTTTACTGTTGGTACAATGTTTCTTTCCTGAAATGCTGCGTTTGTTTCACGTCACATGTAACAGGACTCAAACCTTCCAAAAGGTTCCGCTTTAGTCTCATCATTCCACAGAATAAATTCCCAGAATATGTTATGTCTTGGGGATCATCAAGCTGTTTTTTGGCAAATGTGAGACAAGCCTTTGTGTACTTTTTGGTCAGCAATTGTTTTCTCCTTGAACTCTCCCATGGGTGGCATTTTTTCACAGTCTCTTTATTCTTCTCTTCTTCTTATTGTTGAATAATGAACTCTGACCTTAACTGAGGCAAGGGAGGCCTGCAGTTCTTTGGGTGTTGTTCTGGGGTTTTTTGTGACCTCTTGGATGAGTCATCGCTGCACTTTTGGGGTAATTTTGGTCAGCCGGCCACTCCTGGGAAGGTTCATCACTGTTCCATGTTTTCGCCATTTGTTGATAATGTTTCTCATTGTAGTTTGCTGGAGTCCCAAAACTTTAGAAATTAGTTTGCGAAATTATGTTGTGATGCAGATATGGATGACGGAGAACATTCAACCAGGGTATGTGATAGTTTAAAATAAATTTTTGACAAGAGATTGTGTCTTGATTAGCTACAACAGATGTGCAGCATAGGTGAACCTGAAATATCTAAGCTGTCAGAATTGTTCATCCAACCTGGATAGCCAGACCCAAGTTTACATGACAAAATGGTAAGTATAATACATAAAATCTCATTCTGTTTGTTTCTTTATCTGCAAACTCCTCTGCTTAACACCATAGGTTAAGCAACCAAACCTTACCTGGCTAAAATGACCCATTTTTAAAAAAACATTTATACACTTGTAAAATGTTACAGATGCATCAGATCATTTTTATTTTGCAACAGTGACATCAAATTTATAGCCACAAAAGCTGAATTGATATTGATTGATGCATTATGATGCGATCACATTGCCTGCCAACATTCTAGCAACAGGCTAAAATTATTTTGACCTTTTTGCACCCATCACATCTTATAAAAGCATTCTAGTTTTAAAATACCTGGTTGCTTCTCATTTATGGTGATAAAAGTTTCATTATAACTGCCTAGCAAGCATCTAGCAACATGTTAAAGCGACCTAATATTAGCACATAAATAACACCTACCACACATTTCCCCCTTCCAGTGTGATCAAGAAACACACAAATAGGCCAAACAATACTGTAGCATGGACAGTGGTAGTTAAATAAATAAAACTGGTTTCCTAGTAGCAGGTATCTGTTTTCTAGATCTCAGTGTATTAAAGGAAATGTGGGGGATTTGTTTGTTTTTTTGCTTTTTAATGATCAGTCATTTAAGTATATGATTCAATGAATACCTGTGGGGTTGAACGTGCCCCTGCTTTTAATTGTTCCTTACTTAAAGTTCGCCTCAGTGGCCTTAAAAACACCCCTTAAGGACTTTGTTTTTATGATTTATACAATTGAATGCAATTTCATGACATAAAACAGACTGTCAATCTGCGAGACAGCGGGCTGTGAGATTAACGTAATACTGAAATTCACTGATTGTAAAGAAAACCAATCGTTCATGAATTTGATCAGTTTTTTTCAGAAGCAAGCAGAGGGGGTGGTTGCATGAATGAGCACTTTGTGTTCCAAGGACAATGTGACAAATTCTGAATGTCTTACCGGACAAAGGAACACAGTCAACGGTGTAATCACTGGAACAACATCTCTGTCTCCAGGGCAATGCTTTCACAAGAAGTGCAGCGAGTGTGTGCTGTTCTACTGCAGCACCTCAATTAGCTGAAAAGCAATGATAAAAGACTGAGACAAGCAGGAACAAGGAAAATAAACACTTTACAAGAAGTCTGGGGATTGAAGTTATACTTAATTTACAGAGTGGCCACTTTCAATCTAGTTGTGAAACTGAACTATAACTGCTGCTGTTTTGTAAAGGTTAGACTCTTTTTCGTGATGACTTTATGTTGCTAGATAGTTGTACTATTGTTGACATTTTTCTGCTTGGTCCAAGCCTTTTGTAACACTGACTAATAAACTAACACACTTTTGCATGTATAGCACAGAGTTTTCAGTTCTTATTAGCTGACAGAGTCAATGATAACAAAGGAAATAGTGTAGCATACAGTTTCCTGTATTATGACTACTTATCTGATTAAACTTAATGTTCTTGAACATCACAGTTCTCAGTATCTTTGACTGGCTGTAAGTAACCACCAGAAATTATGCCGATGTAGCTACTTTGTTTCTTTGAAAGTGGAACAAGAGACTAATGTTCAGCACTCTTAAAGGGCAGGAATACTAACTGAGACACGACGAAGCACAAAAAGCACAGGTACTGTACTTCTACTTCTCTTAGATATTAATGAAGTATATGTTTTATGTCCTTGAATGCTGTGTTTTACTTTGTTACTGTATTCCTCCTTCCCTCAGGTAAGCAGTAAATTCACACTCTATGTATGACTCCTGTATGGGCAAAAAGGTTTTTGTTGTAGGGTAATTTAAATACTTAAGATCACTGAGCTACAGTTCAGCTATAAAATGATGATATCCCAATAATTGCATATTTCTTCTTGAAACACCATTGCTTTTAAATAAACGAGTTTCTAACTTGGCCTATTATCTTGTAACAATGTTTGGCAAAATGAGCTATTAGTTGCAATAATCCTATAGTGTTACTTTTTATGTTACTGACATGTCTCATAATCCGGATTTCTGCTTTAAACTGTAAACAATTTGCATTATAATGCTTAAGCTCCTTAACCAAACTCCCGCTGCTTTTTCAGAGTCCATTCAGCAGGACAATGCAAACGATTTTTATTGTACTGCATTTATTGTAATGTTTCCTCAAGCTAATTACAAGCTTTGTTATATTCCAATTTCTTCCTCGTGCGTGTAACAAAGTAGAAATCCACCAGTACGCTACGTTTGGGGTTATGAATGTAACCTTTGTTTTCTTTCTTTCTGAGAGACGGGAGCATTGCATTTCATCTTCATTAAAGAAAACAGAAACGGAACGTTATCATTACTTTCTCATTTAATTTTCTCTTTAGTTTATAAAAATGTGTCAAAATGCATTAAAACACAATATTTTTCTCAGGAATCATACAAAGCCACAACAGAAATTGTATATACAGGCATCTGTCTTCACCTCTATCAAGACTTCAATTGTTTCTGGTGTTGCTCTCAACAGTTACTGTTTAATCAGCTGGAGAAACACCAAAGCTACTTTGAACTTTGCAGGTGTTATGAAGGTCAGTAATGGGTTGAAAGCCAAATTCAAATTTCTGATCAGTTCTGATTGAAATGAATTGAGCAAGAGCGCCTAAAAATGTTGCATGTCAAAGCTTTTGAATCACAATAAGAGTTTAAGAGTAAAGCAAGTCATGCAACTTGCAACATTTAGTTGGAAAGGAGGTTTGGAAACTTTCTTTGTGCCCCAGAGTTTCAGCAATACAAACTCAGCTTTTGCCCTATTCTTTCACAACCTGATGTCTTTGACAGATTATACACTGATCCCAGACCAATCGACTTACCATCACTGGGTTGTCTGAACCCAACATTAAATTAGGTTATGGTTAGGGGTCCTTTGGCCTTTAAAAAAAACACATCTTTTAAAGCAAAGAGCTGGATTGTTTTAGATTGTAGTGACACAATAAACCAAACTGGAAAATACAGCTTAAGTAACAGACCCATGCATTTAAAGTTCAAAAATACTTTACTCAGACAGGATACTACATCTCAGAAAAACATAACATTGGTAGCTATTTTGTCTTTCACTCCAAAAACTAATCTAAAAATAATGCCGCCCAATGATCCTGTTACAAACTAATGTGTGGAATGTAGAGGAGGAGGAATGCATGCCTATTATGTGCGTGCATCATCACAAAAGCACTTTGTCTGTCCTGTGACAAAACCTGTATATTTTTTTCATGTTGTTTTGAGCAGGTAAGTAAGTTAAGGTAGAGGTTAGGTAAGTTAGGGACAACTAGTTATGTTGGGAATAGGTTTAGGTAGGATTAGGTTGATTGGATGGTTAAGCATTGCAAAAAAGGGTTAAGTTTCTGGTTGGAGTTAAGCAAAACAAAATTGGGGGACAGACTGCTACAAAAATGTTCTGTTGATTCATGATGAATGTTCTGAGATTTCGCCATTCACAGAGAAGTCCATAACAAATCAGGCTGTGTATTACGCCATTCTTCTGATGAATTACTGTGTATATTTTACACCATGATGTCTTGGAGATTCATTGGACTCCTTTTTGGAGGGTATAAAAAATTAAGTCCACCAAACGTTCGTAATTGATTTTAGTATGAAGGCTTAGATCGAGGTTTGAATAAGGTTTGGACTAAGTTGAACGTTAAGACAGGACTCGAGGAAACAAACATAAATCAAAGTAATGTCCTCTAAAGTGATGAAAACACGAGTTTGTGTGTGTGTGGGGGGGGGGGTGTCCCTCGCGCCCCACCTCCCTGTCCTCCATCCAATCAGAGCACAGAACGGCCACTCGGGCCTCGCGACCATGGAGCGGCAGCAGCAGCAGCGGGGAGCGGAGTGAGGAGACGGTGGGGGAGGGTCACGTGTGTACACAGTGTAGAGCTCAGCAGCACTCCAGCAGTAGTAATGCCTGTAACGGTCGGCCCCCTTTCAGATCCAGCCTCGTCCGAAAAGTTGATAGATGCGAAGCGAAACAACTGAAATCCACTAAAACGTGTTTTTTCCCCTCCCGCTGTTTTACTTTTCACGAGCGCAAGTCTTTTTTTTTTTCCATACCCAAATGAAACGACTGAGAAATGCCAGTGGAAATGCTACATCAAAACCCAATGCCTCCCTAGGGTTGTCACCGATCCAAGCCTATACGTTTGTGGTGAGTTCTCTTCTCGTTTCCATTGTTTCATCTCGACAAATGCGAAAGGTATCGGTCTCTGGCTTTCACCTGAAAGTGGGAAGAAGTGAATTTGCACCGCTGGGGATGACTAGATGCGAGAGTGAGTAGTCGCAGTTGTGCCAACAAAGAAAGGGGGTGGAATAAATAATGGTAAAGTCGTGACAGCTATCCTCGCTTTCATCTGCCTGGTCAAGTGTAATGACACGGCGTGAAGAAAAATAAATAAACCCCCCCCCTCCAACTCCATTAGCTGATGTTTTCTTAGCTTTATTCAGCTTCAGAAGTTCCACAATTTTAGCGACGGGCTTGTATTTGGAAAACAACACCTGACGAGGAGGTTTCTCACGGGATCAGCTTTCTGAGGTGCAGGGGAGAAAAAAAGTTGTATCATTTTGATCAAAAGGCCTCTCAGGTAATCTGCTCTTTATATGAATAATCATTTCCAATCTGTTGTTGATACCTTCTGTTGGGAGCTAAAACTAGTGGCTCTGTTAACTGTGAGGAATATGTATGTTATGACAAGCTGCAACATGAGCACAGCTTTGTTACCTAGGTCTGAATGCGCTCCCTTATATCCATGCCTACACATATACAGTCTTGTAGTGCTAAACCATTAAGATACACACAAAAAATAGTCTTAATCTTAATTTTAATGAGGTTTTACACCCAACTTTGGGTTTGTTTTGACAGATCGTGTGTCTTTGCTTTACCTACTTCAGTCCTTTTTTTACTTCATCATTGCTTTTAGCAGATGCAGGAAGGTTATTATTGGTAATTACTATATTTTATCATTCATTTTGAAATGTGTGCCACTTCATTGCGAAGTAGCTCTAGCCACTAGTCAGTGGTGCTTATCACCCAAATGAAATGCTTCTTAAGACTCGGTCTTTGCACTTGTTGTCATCAACTTCATCCATGTGACCGGAGGGCAACTGGGCGTGTGTGGCTGTGGCTTAATGACAGTAAGCCTGCTTTGTGCTGACCATTGAACTCTTGACTTTGTTGAAGCCGCTGACAGTTCAGCAAGTTGCCGGAAAAGAAGCCAGGAAGTCTGCTGAGACTCAGACCGACCTATGTTTGACCAGACTCTGTTACACTAGAACTCAATAAGAGGAACTACTGTTTCCTCAAAGATAATCAGATGATGTTTGACACCCCTTGTGAAGTAGATAATCCATTAAAGCATCAGTGATGTGCTCATTAATCAAGGGAGCAGATCTCTATCGTTTGCAGGAAAATGTGCCGTTTAAAAGCTTTCAGACTCAAGCTATTTTGCCTCCACTGTACAAAAACTGATAACAATTTGTACAATTTGTGCATAGAACCTTTCCCCAGGGCTTGAATTGGAATGCAATGAGTTACTTTGTAGATTTGTGGGTTATTAAAGAAACGCATGTGCTGTATTGTGTCACCTGACACGTCTGATGTTGCTGCATAGCAACAATATCTGAGGCGAGTCTACTGGGGTGATGGCCACCCCTCAGAGTGTGGGTTATTTTGAATATAAAGATTGTACTTAATGTACCATTTTATATCAACGCTGTAGTTATACAATACATACATAACAATAAACCAATGTCCACATTATTAAATCAGTAGTTATGATTCAATAATATCCTATATATGATGATAAGAATAACGCTTGCTTTAATTTTAGATACTTGAAGCATATTTCTTTATATATTTTTAACAGACTAAATACTTGGAAAACAAATAGTCCATGCAAAAACAATCTTCAGTGATGTCCAATATATTCAAAGCCAATTTTCTACACTGTTTATTTCGAATCAAATATTATGATTTCCGTCCCGTGGACAGCCGTTTGAAAAAGCCCCGGAAACACCCCTGCACAAAAACGTGCAAAAACGAGTGGCGTAATCTTATTTTCTGGCTGTAGTACATTCTGCTGCTGCTGTGTTGCTGTAGACATGGCTACAGAATCATGTGACATCACTCGCAGCTTTCTGAGAAGGGCCTGTAAATTCCAGTAAGGCTATACGAGGGGTGTGCGCCCAGTATGTCACACTGCTCCCATCAGGCGGTGATATCTGGCTTCAGAACGCTGAGACGTCAAGCACGTGGGCGTCACTGTTACACGATCGTGTTTGGTGGGGCCGAAGCATGCCGAAGCAGGGCTGCCCCCTCTGGGGATAATAAACTTAACCACTTTTCACATGGCGTAGTGCAAAAAGTTCAGACAAGGTTTAACCAAGTGTACAACTGCAGTCAAAGTCACGTTCAAGAGTTTTCAGCTTAGGCTATAGAGCTCTCTCCTGGTTTGCATGCTTGTAGCAGTAGATGTAAATGAATGAATAGTTATATCTCCTGTTAGCACAGCTCATAATTAATGTAGCATAAAAGAAGGGAACCGTGATGGGCATGTTCTCTAAAGAACGGTCCTTGAAAGACTTTATTCAACAACCGTATGAAAGGAAAATAAAGTGACAAGTTACCATTCTCCTTGGAAATTAATAAAAGATAATATGCATACTTCAATGACTGCATGAGCTTAGCCCTGACCACAACTGCTCTGACAGCGCTCGTGCCGTAATAACAGCTGGGTGTAGTGTCTCTCTCTGACCTTCACTCAACCCCAACAACGTCACCTCCAGCTGTAGCCTTGACAGGCTCCAAAATGGGCTAGAAAATGAAATGGCCCTCATTACACTGAATCAAAACAGACGTGGATCATGCAGCATGAAGCTGTTCTGCCTCCGAGTCAGGGGTGGACGTTTTCTTACACCCCGCTTGTTTTTCCCTCAGCTGAGTAGAAAACTAGTGATTTCATTATCGTGGGCTGCTGGCAAAACGCGCAGAGCTAAAGTGCACTGACTTTCACGACATGAGTGGTTGTTGCCTAGAGTGAATGAATGCTTTTGGTAAACAGCGAGCAGTCCACAAGGATTATACGAAAACATTCATCAGAATGTGGGCTTTTCCAATTTTACATAGCAGGTCATTTAAAGATTCATCTTTGCAAAAATAATATTAATAATGCAACTCTGATATACTCTGCACTGCATTGGTTGTTTGTAAGATTGGATTGGTAATTAAGACAATGCATGTCTTTTGGTCATATTTTTTAATGCATAATATTGTCTGAGAAAATCGGCAATGGTTGTTTTACTATGCATTTTCAGTGCGATCCCTCTAAAGCTTTGTTTATGGTCACAGCATTGGTTTTTGTGCACTCCACAAGTCTCCACAGCCTCACAACTATTTGACACCGGCATTTGAGGTGTGCAGTCGTCGTGTCAGAGCTCAGAAAAAACAAACAAACCTCAGCATCAATGCTGGAAAAAGTCAAAACAGGAAGCAAAGGAGTTTTCTCCAGAAAGTCTCATGTTTTTTCCAAGCTGTTGCAGCGTCTCTCTGTGTATATCATCTGTGACTTTGTGTACTGATATATCACTGAAATGGCGGTTAAGACCAACACGATTGTGAAATCGTGTCTCCAACATGGTCACGCCAATTGCACCACAATGGCAAAAAGGCTGTTACTGTTGTCATTCACGAAGGCGATGACAGCAAGCATGAACGCTCCCGTTATTTTTCCTCTCGCATGACGTACAGCCTTTTTCCTACTGTTCAAAAAGAATAGAAGCAGAGAGAAAATGCGACCTTTAAGTGGAGAAAAATATCAATACGCCAGCATTGCTTCCTCTCGCAATGCAATTATTGATATGCCGCTGTCAGATATCGATATTTTAGTCAAATTACAGATTACAGATTCTGTAAGTGGATTTCCACAACAACAGCAGACAGCTCCTATTAACTCTGCTTTGGAGGGTTACAACAATACGGCTCCGATTCCCTATGGAGATTATTAATGGGGCTTTTTCTTCTGGAGTTGTTGAGCATCACTGCATCCTGAGTGACTTTGTGATTCCCACCATCTATGTGCCCGCAACAGGAAAGCACGACTTTGTCCTCATGGGGGGAGTACTGTCCAGAAGGTCACTAAATTTGTTCCTGAAAAGCAAACTAAGATCTGTTTTTGGCCCGATGAGCACTCCTTTGGATGGGAAGAGTGTCAGGGGAATAAACTGAGATGCGTATCAGGGATTTTCCTGAGGGTTTTTGGCATCCCACAGATGGTTTTAAGGGAAATGGAAAGAAAACTCACCAGCAGTGTTACAGAATTACACTTTTAACCTGTTTTCTTAACTTGGGATTCACGTTCTCAAGCATAATAGACTTTTTTTAATAAGATAATTAGATAGAAATAAATTAGAAACCTACACAAAGTGCAAATGTTCGAGTCATACATACGAGAGAAAACAGTTGCCCTCTTTTTTTAACAACTCCTGCAGCTATCAGAAGCTGTAGAGTGAGCCAATGTGTTAATGACAGGGAGTTAGAAATGTCCGTATACAGCAGGTGCTAATTAATGAGGACTGCCAGCCACATTGCAGTGAGTCCTCTTTAATAATCACGAACTTCCCCTTAAGTCATTTTCTCTGTAAGTGATGAAAGGTTGTGGGAGGAAGTAAAGGGTGAATAAGCTTACTGTACTTCTTAGTATATGGAAGCATTGTGGTGGTGGTGGTGGTGAGGGGGGTTTAGCACGAATCGATGAAAAGAGGAGCACTGGTTATAGTGTGCTTTTTTTTCAAGGTCTGCTTTCGTCAATGAGTCACCAAGCTGCCGGTGTTTGAGAGCAGTGTTTACAAGTGGGCTGACCAGTGCTCCCGACTCGGTGAAGATTGCCCTCCTCCCGATCCACTTCTTGTCCGTCTCTGTGCTCCAGCCCCCACTACAGCCCCGTTGCAGCCAATTGGAGCAGCACAGAGGAGAGACCGAGTGTATCTGTGTGTGTGTGTGAGAGGCTTAAGGCCAAAACAGCCTCTCTGTAGTGGTGTTACGTAAGCACACAGAAGAATGTTTCTCCTTTACTGGCATCGTTACTCATTCCCTGAAAACAAAACTGCCTTCCTACACTTTGTTTCAGGGTGTTCTCGGGGAGAAAATTTCCAGAAAATTCTGCACAGATTAGCGGGCGTACTGTTTCCATGTAAAAATGTTATCGTCCCTTCCCAAAAGCAGTTTTGCATGTGGAAACATATCTGTCAATTTAGTTCTGAGGAAAGGAAATATTGTGGGACCTGAGTTATTTACTTTAGCTTGTAATAATAATCTTCCTAAGAATGACCTCAGTTAATTATGCAAGGAAACATCTAAATCATCCAGCTCCATCAGCTTCACTCCTAAATGTTCGTGACATCTACGCTGTCTCCCCCTTTCCTTTGTTTTTTGACCTTGTCCTGAACTCCAACCTACACCTCGTCCTTCGCTGACCCTTCACCAAAGCCTGCTTCACATTTCACTCTTTATAAATCTACCCATCGCCGCCTGCCCAGCCCCCAGGCAGCTTGGCAGTAACTTTGAACGGAAGATAAATGCTTTTGACTGGGCACCAAAGCTGTCTGTGAAATGTTCTTCTTTATCACGCTGCGTGTGAATGAAAAATATAAGGGCAGCTCTGCGCAGTCAGCAGCGCTCTTGCATGCAACTGTAGGAGGGAGAACGAGGAGGCCGAGGCAGAGCGAGGGAGAGACGCCAAGGTGTCAAACAAATGCAGTTTTGTATTCTTCCACCAGAACAAAGGCCTCATTTGCTCTGGCCAGTGAGGAGAAATGGTGGGTTTTTGAGGCTGAGCTAGCAAATCAAACATATTGTGAGGCGTTTGTATTCAGTCAGTCAGATGCAGTGAAGTGAAATTAACAGTGTTAGCCGTGGCATAATAGGCGAGACGTGGTGGACGTGTTTTTGTGTCGCGGCCTTGCTTAAAAAATGAATCATTTTAATAATATCAAGCAGGATAAACTCAGAGACCTTTTCATAAAAGCCATAAATATGACATAAAATAAAGATAGTTTTGGGTGATGTTAAAAATACGTTTTAAAATGTTTTACAGTCAGATATACTGCTGTACACGCATAGATGACAAATTAAAGGAAAAGCCTGAACTCAGTGGCTCCCTTAAGCTGTTGAGCGTATTTCGTTGTGCACATTGTTTAGGTGCACTTGTTCCCTAAAGCCCAGTCCGCATATAAAGGGATTTACCTCTGACGGTTGCCTAGGTAATCCACTAATGTATTTAGTCATATGTCAACAGCTGTATCCTTTACTTCCACGGATTGTTGCTTCAGTCTCTCACCTAAAGGTGAGGTACATTTACCTCAATATTCGCCCCCTTTGTGTCACCAGTGGTTATTTTTCCCCACCGTCACCACAAGTTGCTGAATTTATTGACATGTTATGGTCACTGCTAGGCTCTTCCTATGTCTGTGCGCCTTAAGAGGGAAATCCCTTTGCAAGACAAAATACAGTGACTGTTTTTATCCTATAATGAAACATCTTTGTCACGATGGTCGTCATCAAAGCCCCTCTAAAAGAAAGTCTGGCGACTTGACTGTTATTTCGACTCATGTCTGGATTGTTATTTTAAAGCCCTTATCTAAATGAATGGGGGAAAGAGAATGACTGTCACTTTAACGTAAAAATTAAATGTTTATAATCGACAGTCACATCCCAGGAAGAAAAGGTTTTAAAAGAAAGAAAGAAATAGAAAAACTTATTTTTGTCAATTTCTTCAAATGTACTTGCCATACAAAGGAATTGAAATTACGTTTCACACTGTCCCATGCGTAGACATTGACAACAATAAAGTGCAGATGCACAACAAAAACAGCCCTAACAATAAGGTAATATTAAATAGGTAACAGGATAGAAAGCTTCTTCCTCTTGAAAGCTGTATGCATCACGAGTGAAAAGGAGTTACTGTTCTTCTTCTACTGTAACCCTTCTACTCCAACAGGATTGGCTAATATGTTTCCTGTTTAAGCTGTTAATTGGCTCACCACTTATGCCCTCATTGGTGGCCACCATCATTAGCATTTCAGAGGTCCTTCACTGTTCCCTGTGTGTCACTAGAGTCGTCTTTTTTCAGGATTACAATGCCCTGATTCAAAGAGCACAAGAAGCCACTTAATGATTTGCTTTGTCTGAAAATGATGGAGAGTTCAAATAGCAAACGTGCTATTCAGCTTTCTCTGGTAACTGTTCGATTGTTATTCGAAACTCGCATTCAGTCCTAAACCGTTCTCTGATGACTCTGCATAGTTGTGGTACATTTATGGCACGCTTTATCTTTATCTGTTCTAATTTGCACTGCACCGTGTTTGGATTTATTATTCAAAGGAATTCCAAACATTACTCTTTAACGGTTATTAACCTCAGACTTTGCGCGTTTATCCTGTTTGTACAGTGGCAGTTGGCAAAAGGCGTGTAGGTGCATTACCTCCAGCTTCTGACAGTGGAAGCACGTGATGAGGGAAATTCATATATGTTAAACAAACAAAAAGAAAACAAAAGCCACACAAACTTTAGGATGTTGTGAACTTTATGGTTTTTGAGAAGAATGGTAAACTAAACCTTATAGCAAAGCTTAAGAGTTTAATGAATCTACCAGGAATTCTATGTTATTTTTACCTTTATCATACACATATCTCATTAATGACTAATTATTTTCCCTTTGACTCTGTCCACAGTCGACCTGTTGAGAGTGCTTGATCCGTGTCAGAGCCCAGCGATGTGGATCTGCATGGTTTACAATGAGACGGACACCAGCGTGGACTTCCGGCTCTGCCGGGACTTTGGCCTCATCCTGTCAATCCTCTCCCTCATCTACCTCCTGGTGTGTTTCCCACTGGGCCTGTGCTACAATGTGCTGCTGGTCGTGGTCAACCTCTCAAACAAGGTGTCCATGACCATGCCCGATGTCTATTTTGTCAACATGGCCATTGCGGGTCTCGTGCTCAACCTGGTGGCGCCCGTGGAGCTGCTGAGCTCCACCTTCACCCGCTGGCATGTGTGGGAGTATAACAATGAGGTTTACATCACCCTACTCATCCTCTTCAACATCTCATCTCTGGTTATCATGTATTCCACCACGCTGCTCAGTCTGGACTACTACATAGAGCGCGCGCTGCCTCGCACGTACATGTCGAGTGTGTATAACACCAAACACGTGTGCGGGTTTATCTGGGGCGGCGCAGTGCTCACGAGCTTCTCCTCGCTGCTCTTCTATGTGTGCAACCACATCTCCACCAAGATGGTCGAATGCTCCAAAATGCAGAACAAGGAGGCAGCGGACTCGATCATGATGTTCATCGGCTACGTGGTGCCCGCCCTGGCTGTGCTTTATGCTTTTGTGCTCATTCTGCGCATCAGGAAGGAATCTACACCATTGGATCAGGACTCTGCTCGCTTGGACCCTTCCATACACAGGTTGCTGCTAGCTTCAGTCTGTGTGCAGTTCGTACTGTGGACTCCGTACTACATGACTCTTTTAGTACATACTGTAGTTGTTGCACCAGGATACATTAGCAGTGCACGTTACTTACCTATCTATTATTTCTTGAGATGCGTATCTAAACTGTTGGCGTTCTCCAGCAGCTTTGCAATGCCTCTTATGTACAGGCAGATGAACAAAAACTTCTCCAACAAGCTCCAGCGGCTGCTCAGGAGGCTGCATTGCAGAGACCAGTCCTGCCCTCGTGAACGCTCAACAGTGCAGCAAGTGGTGACGTGAGATCCCCCGCCCCCCTTGCTTGCATTTTCCACTTCTCGGCCTAGCCAGCACTTATCTCCCCTCTATAGCGCCAGTATCTGACGGGGATCTCTCACAACCCCGGACTGTTTTGAGAGCGACGTAGCTAACTCTGGAATTTCCTGTCACCTTCCCGGATTTTAATCTGTTCTATCTAGGTCTGCAATGAGGGGACAATGGAAACAAAAACCACTAAGTGCTGGGTTTTTTTTGTTTGTTTGTTTATTTTTAATACATTTCTCCAACAAGAAACTCAGGCTTCTAGTTTAAGGGTAGTAAATTGGGAACAATCATCCAATAACTACCGAGGACAGAGTTTCACAACAAAAAAATCCAGTTTTTCCGCGTCCTCCTTTGGGAGTGGGTGTGGTTTTTGTGCCTACATTTCACCTCTAACACACAAGCAGATCCAATAAGCTATAAAAGTTTAATTATCAAATGCAGCCAAGTTACTTAGTTTTTTAACAGAACCCTCTCCACCCCTGCAATGATGGTGGCTGGTATACCCATAAGCAACCACCACTAATGAACGGTGTGCGTGCCAGTGGAAATCACTGTTTACCGCCCTCAAACTATAAGCCTCGGCCACTTCTTTTTTTTATTTGAACTCAGTTTTCCTTCTGCTTTAATTTGTTTTGATTATCAGATTAAATAATCTTCACATGTTGAAGCTGGAGTACAATATTAAGTTTGTCTTGGACACCAACACTACCCTGTGGCTAGAACTAAGTACTGATATTAAGATATGTTCCCATTTTAATTTCAAAGATTGTATTCTGAAGTTTTGATCCACTCAAACATACAAAGAGATTATTTTTACGTCTGTCAAGCTCCACTATATATATACAGACACACACACATCTACACCACTTTGAAATCACACAGAACTAAATGGAACACTCACGTAAAGCTTGTATTCAGGGTTCAGACATAACCAGTATACCTCGTGTGATCTCTGCTGATTATAACCTTACCTGATAACCACAAACAGTTTGAAATCCACTCATTAAGCTGCGCTGACAGCCAGTGTTCTGTTAACTTTTGATCTATTTCTGCAGGAATTATCCACCCAGAGCCTCACTTAGGGTCAGTGAACCCCCACACAGGGTCACAGAGAGAGCCCTGAGGGGTTGTCATGCACAGGCCACAAGACTCATGACTGGCTGTGAAGTTTTTGCACACTAACAGTATCAAAAACCTTCTTAAACATATGAAAAGCCCACTTGATAAGCACCTAGAAGCAGTGTGTACAATACAGAAGAGTTTGAACTTTAATGCTGCTCACATGCACATTATTATCAAAGCTGCTTTGCTTCCTTGCCTGCCATGGTAAACAGTGAACATAACAATCTGATGGCGACGAATCCCAGCTATCAGAATTAAAAACACGTTCTAGCATTCGGTCTGCTGTTTCACTGCATTAGTTTGCATATTGAATTAAAAGGCCAGTTTGTTAATCAGCCTGTGAAATGATACACCAGCAAGGTGGGGCGTCCACTCGAAGTTAAATGGAGACGGGCGCGCTCTGATATGAATCGTATGTTTGTATTCAGTTTTAATTTACACCTTCAAGCACACATTAACTCTGTTAATGACCCAAAGCTGAGCTGAAATGTTTGAAGTATTTGGGCGAGTGCGCTTTTGCTGTAAAATGTGAAGGAATGCCAGATGTACTAACAGGTTTGGCCCTTTTTTTTCTGTCAAGATTATAACAAAGTCACATACACACTCTCTCTATTTTTCCAAGCATTTCATGCGCTGCCCTCGTTACATGCATATGGATTCGGTCACTGGGAAATAGTATTCACCTAAAATGCATCATGTGCTGCCCCACAAAATCCTTGAATGGATGGTTTTTGGCACAGTTAATCATTATTTGCTCTCAGTTCAGTGTCCTAATGTGAACTGAGCATTTAGGAATGAAGAGCAAACACTGGACTGAATTTCTAGAAATTTCATAGAAATTGCTACGTTTTGTAATTATAAGTTCATTCCTCCGAAAAACGTACTTAAATTGATTTTATGCAGTTCATGTGATATACTACCAACTGCATGTAAGTGTTATGAAAAGATATCCAAACAGAGGGTGCTCATAATTAATCTTTTTCAGCATAAGTTCTGAAGCTGCACCAAACGACACTAAGAGAGTGACAATCATGTAGAGATTCCAGTAGCTAAATAAATGCACTGTTTTGCTTCAAAATACCATCGAGTTTTTCTGGATTGCTTGAAGATGATGTGTGCATGTGCTGCCTAACTTTGCCTGATCAGTTTTCTTTAACCACTGCTGCAATTTCATCCATTAGTCTGTTTTTTTAAAAATGTTTTTTAACTATCCAACCCCAATCCCTTGGCAGAATTAATGATCAGCGGTCACTACATGGAGTGATTGCGTGATGTTCACAACTAGAAACTAAAGCGTGATCAAAGCTCAAATCACACCTAACTCAGATGGCTGCTCGTGTCTGAGAATGGTTTATTATTTCAGAGGTGGCCAAAACCTCGCGTCGGCGCAAAGAAACAGCCCTAAGAGGTCTTGTATGTTGAACGAGTACAGATACATTTTAGTTATTTGAACAACCAAACCTCAAACATCCAGATGAATCCACATTCAGATGTTATGCTTTTGTGACTGTGTATACAAATGTATATGTATAGTACAAAATGATTTGTATATATTGTATGTAAAAATCTTGCAGGAGGACACCATGCTCTTTGAAAAACTACAGTATTATTTTCTGAGAGATATATTTAGATTCTGTAAGTACTCTACTGTCAGCTGAGTCAAAGACTGATTAAACAATAAACTAAAATGGATATAACCGCTCCTTCCTGTCTCAGTGAAATCTTACCATTCGTGTGGTCATGTGAACAATGTCTCTGTTTGTCAGATGTTTGTATTATTTTTAAATAGTGAACATGTTTGTGTTTTGAATCCATAGATCTGAGCTTACGTGGATGTTGGCTAATTTAAAGTCATCTTGAGATGTTGGTTATTGGTGGACTGGTGGTGCATATGCATGTGAGCTGTTCATTAGTGACACTAATCTCAGTAGTACCCCTGATTAGATGATGGGATGAGTGAATCAGCTCTGATGTAGGCATTTATATACTCACTGGCCACTTTATTAATTACACTTTGCTTGTACCACCACAATCTGCCTTCATTCTTGACAGTAAAGATTCAACGAGATGTTTTCATGTTGTTTATGACACATTTTTAAACTACCATCTTAATGTTACAGCAAAGATAGAGGCTCGTCTTATTTTCGTGAGCCTGTGTAAAAGCCTCAGTGCACTTTTATAGCTGACCAGACTGACACCTGGGATGGTCTTCCCCTGTAGCCCATTATGTGGGACAACATGTTGTGCATTCAGATTCTTTTTTTTTTTTTGCCTTCCTGTCTGGATAGCTTGTTTTTTTTTCCAGACCAGTTTCTATAAACCCGAGAGATTTTTTTACTGGAAAATCCCAGTAAATCACTCGTCTCCATTCGGATGCTCAGTGTGGACTTCAGCAGGTTGTTTTCACCACTTCCACATACCTTAATGCACTGAGTTGCTGTCATATGATTGGCTGATTATTGGTTAATACTTGCAGTAACAGTTGAACATGTGTATCCAGATGAAGCGGCTGGTGAGTGTAAAGTAGAATGCTTAAAAACTACACGTTTTAATGATGAAGGCTGCATAGAGTGAAAAGCATTGTTTTTTGTTTTCTTTTTTAAGGAAGACTGAGTGCATGTCTGCAACTTAATCCCACAGACCTTTATCAGATCTGGGAGGGGACTGTGAAAGTTGTGTAGGTTGTCCTGTATTTCTAAGCTGCAGTGAAAGCGATTGTGAACAATGCCACAGCTCCCTTCCTGCTTACCACATGGCTAACACCACATCTTTTGTGGAGGGACCCTTTAACCAGGACACACAGGCTGGGGAAAATAGCAGCATTCCCAACATTCTGTGGGTCTGACAGTCCGAGGCTGCTGCTATTCTCTGTCACAAAACAATGTTGTGTAGGCATCTAATAACAATGCCCTCCACACTAGAGCTGCGCCTCTGTCTGCAAGTAAGAGCTAGAAGTGTGTGAGTTAGCAGGATCACACTGTAAACAGCCAACTTTTCAGTTAAATCTGAACAGGCTGAAGTAATCGGTTATGATGTTCATATTACAGTTAGGAAGCAGTTACACTGTATTGCACAACAGTGTGTGGATTAATAATACCTGAGAGACCAAAATATAGAGGCAAACATAAGATCTCCAGTGGGAAGAGGAGGGGGTCTTGAATCATGTGCACTGCATCTGGAAATGATATGATAATGAAGTGAAAAAACATGGTTGTCATGGCTGCTGTTTCCACCTCTGAGGATTGAACTTTCTCGGAGCTTTTTAACTCAAAAAGCACAAACCATCACTCATCAGTTACTGAGTTTGTCAGTTGTTTGTCACTCTTAAAGAGCAGGAAACTCGTCATGCACGCAGGGATTATTATTCATATGTGTTGTTATCATCGAGCTGATTACAAAAGGGTAATTGGACATGTTGACAAGCCCACATGATTATGTCCAAAGAAACATATAAACCGCGTACAACCCAAACAACTGCACACCAACTAAAAGCCCTCAAGGAACTATGCAGCAACATGTTGCACTTGATACCAACTCCCCCAGGCCTGCAGGTGCATTAAGGAAAGCATATAGAAGATATTTTCCAATAATGTCAAACGACTTTTTTTGCCATATACTGTAAAGTTACACATACACATTATCTGGTATGGATTATCTGCTTGGAATAAAAGCAAAGCGTGAAGTGTGAAGTGTGTCAGGTTACAAGTTTCACACTTTCGTCCTTATTTTGCTAAGTGCACCAGGAAAAGCTCTTAAGTGTACCAGCATGTGTCTGGAAATGGAGTAATGCTGACATAGCACAGATTTCGTAATGTGCTACATTAGTCTTAATGTTGTTTTTCTCCTTTAAAGGTTCAGCCAGACCAGGAAGTATGAGGGTCGGCTTCGGTCTTACACACAGTATCAGAGACCACCTATGAAGATGGAGAATTTGGCTTGCGGTTTAAAATGTTTTATCTGGCACTCGTCCACATTTCACACACAAACCTTAACCCACCGCTGTTTTTTTCTTAATGTGGATGAAAACTGGGCTATATAATGTAAAGGCAGGAGCAAGACCAAACAGGTTACAGTTCTCATGCAGGTATCTCACGCTGGGATCAGAAAAAGGGGAAGAAGTGGCGTCAAATCCTGAATTCCTAGAGCAACCAAGCCACAAGAAAGAGAGAGCAAAAGTGTCTGACTGCAGGCAGGAAAACCCTCCACATGATAGTAAAAGAATAAGAATTAATACATTAAATAGGGCAAAGGAAGTGAAAAGGCAGGAGCACAGCAAAAAGATAGCAGTTGTACAAAAGATAAACAAATCTAAAGATTGCAATTTATCAAGAACATGGTGAACATGGTGAACATGTTCTTGATAAATGGCAGAATAACAGGGCTACGGTTCCTTTCACATGGTGGAAGGTCTGACCTTGACACGTTTGAAATCTCCCACCATAATAAATTCAGAACAGACCAGAAAGCTTCAGGAAGGAACCTTCATGTTCAGCCCATCGCATCACTTCAGCTCTGGGGAAACATGTGCACCAGGGCAGATGCTTTGAATTCAACCCACCCTTCCTCCATTGCCAAACCTGTTCTTTTTGCTTCTCATCTCCAGAAATGAAAAAAAAAAAATAGACTAACAATAAAAATCCCAGCATCAGCTAAATATCAAACATAGGCCTGGAAGCAGTGCAGAGGAGCTGGACTCAGGCAGGATGTTCCATTCAGAGTTTGTGGTTGTGGCTGTGGGAGATGCTGAATAGAGCCAGCAGCACATCAGACCGGTAAGTGGAGGCAGATGAGGGTGCTGTACCCTCCCTCCTCCAGACCTCCCACTTTCACTCCCCCAACCACAAGCAGTTAAACCCCAAAACTTCCCATTAACACTGGTTGTACTGATAGTATTGCTTCCATATTTAGCCTAGTTCTTAAAGAGGAGTTATAACAATAGTATGTTTTGTAGTTATGACAGAATTTTATGGCTCAATTTTTTAAAAATGAGACCAAAAGAAATGTTTGATTCATCGTGCATTTATCCATCAGTTTCATCAGTTGACCTGCTGTGTATTTTTAGAATAAAAACATCAACATCTGACCTGCTTTAATACTTTGAAACACTCAGACACTTTCATAAATCATCGTAAACACCACAGAAGACTTTTACCGGATTCCTGTAACCCACTGCTCATCCCACTCCAACATCAATCACTGTTAATGCCAGTGGGCCATCCAGTGGACATAAGCATGAACTGCAACCTTTCTGACAACATTGAGCATATACTGTAAGTCCAGTCGAAACGCCTCAAGACAGAAATATATATTTGAAGCACAGTATGGAAATTCTATGTTATGCAGATCGTGAAAAAGGCAAAAACTGTAATAATGATTTGTTTTTTATCTGTATAATAAAGAGCAAAATATGGAAAACAGAGATTTCCTGCAGCATTTTTAAGTGAGTTTTAAAAAGTGTCTCGCTCAATATCTTTTCAGCCGTGCAAGATCTTGCTGGAACAAAAAACAAAAAACCTTATCCAGATGAGGCCCAGACTTTATGTAACCTTTAGCCTGATTTGTTTCTCAGAAGTGCTTCATACTGTAGAGAAATCCAACAATCGGTCAGTGCCCTACCTTTTCTTTTTCAGCTTTTTATCATGCTTTGGTGGGGAATGGCATATGTGAGGTATTTGTTCTCTACTAAAACAAATACAACTAAGTGTGCTTCAGCAGTCATCATGAATTTGGTTTTGTTGACTTGCACATTTGACCACTACATCCCCGCTTTCCCCTTATCTGAGTGAAGTCGCGCAGACTGAATAACTCAGATTTCGGGTAGCTGGGGAAAAAACAATCACACCAATCTGGCTGACTGCATGACCTCTCGGACCTGCTGCTCTCGTCTTTCTTCGTGTGTGCTGCTGCGCTGACCTTCTACCGCAGCTAAAATCCTCTTTTATGTAACCCACAGAAACAGCTCTCTGTTGTCCACTCTCCTGTCAAAACCCCAAAGTTGTTTGCACCAGCAGGGCTTCCAGCTGCTGTATTGACCCTGTCTGCTCCCTCAGACTGCTACTGTTGCTCTGCTGTACCATATCCTCACTGCCAAAACACAGCTCCTTGACGACATGAAGCTCTGCGACATATTGCTGTTGCATGCTGCTGTTGTCCCTTAAAAGTCCCTTCAATAATACTGCTATGTCTTTTACATTATTAAAACACAGTAAAGATCGTAATGCTTTATGTGAGCAACTCCACACACAACAGATTAAGTTGTAATCCTGTGCTGGGGGAACAAGGTTCACATGTTTCCCTTTTTTTCCTATCTAAAGGGAACCTTTTATGCTTTTCTTCATCTTCTGCCAAATATAAATTCACAGTGCTGGATGCTGATATTTAATATGTCCAAGGTTTTGAGCTAATTCCTCGGGTTTCGGCCTGTTTGATTTTGTTTGTTTGTTTGTTTTTTGTCTAATCCTGTCATCACATTATTTACGAGAAAGAAAATCATTCAACATCATTAGGTATTGTTTTTGTGTTGGCTGCAGTTTCTTCAATTCTAACATTTATTTTTGTTTTTCTGTCCAAACTTCAAGCCCAGACGCCTCTGAGTGCGTTGACCTTCCCTGTCTTTAAATTCACTACCTCCACAGGCTTTTTATTGTTGCTCACATCTTTTTTTTTTTAAAGCCCTGAGGCTGGCACACAGCAATACCAAAGGAACTTCAACACCATACCTACCAGCACTGATGCAGCTTTGACCCCAACTCCCTGCCTTCCCCAGGCTGTCTTTAAATGAAGCGACCTTCCCACCTTGTGAGAAGTTTAAAGTCAAGTTTGGTCTTTTGGAAGCTTTTGCCTGAATTATCAATTTTTCTTCACTTTAGTCCTGCTTAGATGTTTTTGTTTTTGAAGGTGAGCTATTATGCTCTTCTATAGTTTCACGTTTTTTATCCTTAGACTCTACCATTGTGTTTTTGTATAATTAAGAAATTAAGATGTTTAATGATATTATAAAGCCAAAATTAGAAAAAGACTTTCCACATCAAGCCTTTGGCTCACAGGTCACTGTGAGTGATAGGGATAGGATTATACTTTTCAGCTACTTGGGATACCAAAATGATAAAAAAAAAAATAAAAAAATTTATGTTTATTGAACCTTGGCCAGTCTTGGTCGCCGGGGATTGCTCCGCCAGGACCTGTGCTCCTGGTGGCCGCCCAGCTCACAATGCATCCGACCCCTACGGTGCCCACCACCTGCAGGAAGATGGGCCCATGTCCCTTATTTTGGTCTGTGCCCAGCCGGGCCCCATGGACTAAGGCCCGGTCACCAGACGCTCACCCTCAGACACCCTCCCTGGGCCTGGCTCCAGGGTGGGGCCCCGACACCTCTACCCCGGGGAGGGTGAACTATTCCCTCGGTGGTTTTCTCATAGAGGTCTTCTAAATTGCTCTTTGAACCTTCTGACAAATGAAAGAAATTAAGTAAAAATTTGCATTTATAAGTCATATTGTTTTTGCTACAGCCTGTATTTTTGTTTAGGTGTGAATGGAAGTCACATTGACGATAGAGGTTTTAAATATTCATGTACACTTGGAATTACAGGGTCAGGTTAATTTTAGCATCCACCTCTGGATATGTATATAACGTCCCCTTTAATGAGTTTAATGAGTTCATTTATTATAAGATTACATCATTGTTTTCCGTAGCTGCTACCGTTTTTTGCAGCTGCCAACTGATCATTTGGGAATACCTACTCTTAATTATAGTAGGCTTAGGCTTAGGGCATCAATAATTATACTGGGATAGTTTAATCTATTATATTTTCAAGCATAATTTAATTTCACATTGATGTCTTCTCAGTAAATAGCTCTGTTTTAGCGCATGGTTATTGTATGTCTGGAATAATTGTAGGTATCTGTGGCTAATCCATCTGAGTGTTCAGGAAGATGCCAAATCAGCCAACACTACATCCAACAGCTCTCCATAGTCTCAGGTGTAATAGAAATGAGCACAAATTATACTGATGTTAAACCCTGGCCAGTAGCAAAATGCCTGTTTTGTTTCCCACTTATTGAAAGTGACACCTCACAGTGTTTTAAAGATTTATCTGGGTGTAATTGTCGTATTGACCGTGGGCATTGAATAAGCAACCGTCACTGTTTTTTGTTGTACATAAAAAATCAATTCTTTACTTATTATACAAGCATACTAATGAAAAAGCAAGGTAATGCCTGGTATTTTTCCACTGGCCCTAGGACTAAATGCTAGGCTACCCAGGTGAACAAATACTTAAAACAATATGTGGTTTCTATAACAACACAAGCTGGTTGTGTCCAGGTAAATGCCACGCTGCATCTAATTGTTGCCAGAACTTTTCTTTGATTTAAAGTTTAGCACGCATCCTGTTCAATTCTGTGATTTTAGGATTTAGATGTTTGTCAGATCCTTGGAATCACTAAGTCGGAGGAGAAAGAGTAAGATAATGAAATGAAGCATGTTGACAAACTATGCGTGACAGATCATCTCTTGCCTCCCACCCTCCCCTCATTTCCAGACAGGGTTGGGCCAAACAGCAGGTGGTGCAGAGGAGAAGCCTGGACATGGGATATACAAATCTCTGGCTCCCTGACTTCTACACCAGGCAAGCAAGAAGGAGCAATAAATGCTAGATTTATATGTAAGTGTATTTTTTTTATCACCAAATTCTTTGTACTGGTTGGAGATTTATGTATTTCATGTGTTTTGTCTTAAAAAGACAGAAAATAGCACATCACGTGTGGGTGTTACGCTTGCTATGTACTCAGTTAATTTCACTGTGAATGGGGCTTTCTCTTGTGTGAATGCAGTTACGTAAGTTATGTATTATGGTCTTCAACTTGAGTAATCACTCAGAAAGTTGTAATATATTACATTTCTTAGATGTCAATGATCGCCAGATGATTTTTACTGAAATTCTCCACCCTGATTAATTGATTGTTGAAAAAATATAGGAATAAAGTGAATTGTTGATCAATGCTGCCATCAGATTTCAGGGTTTGCACTGCCTTTAAATGTTTAATAGAAAAGTCTAATTAGCAGCACAATCATGACGTGCAATGCATTTAAAGAGCAGAGACATTTAAAGTAAAGATAAAAAAATACTGTACACATATTGCTTTGTGAGATTCATAGTCTACACATTAATTTATGATATTTGCCTCCCAAGAGTGCATTAATATTGCAGAGGGGTTTACTCT